CTCTTATAATTATATACACACCCCCGTTTGCTGGGAATTCGCTGTTGGAATAAAAGGCTGAGCGGTGCAGCTGACACCTCTTGTCAACTGCAGGTGGGGGTGTGTGCCAAGGGCATAGGGGCAGGCAGGCTCGTCGTTGTGGGGGTTCACTGTGAGCTGGTTTTCACGGGTGGCGGGTGACAGTCACTGTGAGGTCTTCACTAGGGAAGACCCTCCATCACAGCCCAGACCACGGCGAGAAACAGCAGCCAGCGCACCCACACTACCTTTCCCTAACACACACACCCTGGTTCCATTTGTGAAAATAAATGAGACTCGCATGTACTAAGGATGTTGTTTCTCTTACAGTTGGGATCATTTATCGATCAGCCCACTTCAGTGGCACAGAAGAGAAACCGTTGCTATAGTTGAATAGCCTCTTTGTCCAGGGTCCTCCCGGACCATTGGCGCTGTCCAAATCTTCACGCCAAGTCTGGGATGGTGTCTGGTCACCCTTTCTAGGCAATGCTACTGAAAAACCAAGAATACAATGAAACGAACAAGGGGGCTCTCCTGACCTGGTGTCAAACTTCCTGCCGTGAAGCTGGGAGTGCGTCTCAGTTGCTAGCCTGCCTGCCTAACACGTGGAAGCCCGGAGTTTCATTCCCCAGCACCTTATAAGACAAGATCTGGCACATACACCTGTGATCCAGCCTCACTTGGGGGATAGAGGCAGGAGGGTCTGGAGTTCAAGTTCTCACAGATCCAGTGAACTGTCTCCTCACTGTCTCCTCGCCTCAATCGGACCCCATGCAAGCTCCCCCAATCCTATTTCAATAGGGAAATGGAAGGAGGCATTTGGGCTGGTGGTCAGTTCATCCACTAAATATTTGGGGGACCTAAGCGGCTTTGGGTTTTATAGGACTCTGTATGTCTTCTGTACCAACCTAGTATGTGTTGATTTTTTTAAAAATTTATTTCCCAGTTTTCTCCAAGAGGCAGAAGAAACTTCAAGAAACTGAAGACCTCTGAGCTACTTACAAATTTATTACTCAGTCACTCAGGTGAGTAGAAGCAGCAGGATGCGCGGCCATCCGTACCTGGGTGATCCAGCTCAAACCGCATCTGTGGGGGCACATTCTCCGAGTCTTCGGGGAGCACCTATACACAACCCCCTCTCCCCTGTACACACGTATCTTTGATGATAAAGTTGAATCCACAAATGAGCTGCAGTGACAGGTCAGCAGCAATAAATAGATTTAAAGGGTGTATAGAGCTGAGTGGAGGTGGCCTGCCCTCCCTCCACACACAGCAGCAGAGCGGACAGCCAAGGTGGCAGCAAGCACTACCAGTGAGTGGACACGGAGATGGCACAAATACGCCAAGCCAAAGTTGGGACCCACATCCGGCCAGGCAGAGCATGGCTCACCTCAACTCCTGGATGGCTTACGGTTTAAAATATAGGAGTTGTTTATTTCTAGAACTTTCCATTTGATATTATTACCTTCTTACAGTCGGCCACAAGCATTACAAATGGAGGAAAACCAAGCCACGAGAAGAAAGAGGCATGGTGGAAAGGAACCGACCTATGAAGAGGAAATTAAAGAGTCCCAACGCTGGTGATGGGGAAGAGTTAACCTGCTCTGGGGTCAGAGGCAGTTTGGAGGCCGAGTTTCCTCTTTTCCCCCTTAAGGCTGCTAATTAATTAGACAAGGCCCACTGCCCATGCTATGGGGTGACCTGCTTTATTCCGGTGTTAATGTGGAAATAATGCATTCACAGCAACATTTAAACACAAGCTCACCAGAGCTTGCCACGGTAGAAGAAAATTAACAATCATAGGACAAAAGCCAATAGATGCTTTCTGGTTCAGAAAATGAGCGAACACGTTGATAAATTGGTGAACAAATGGATGAGTGGGTATGTGGCTGGAGGGGATGGATGGGAAGATAGATTGTTGGGTGGATGGGTGATGGATGGATGATGAATGGATGAATGATGGGTGGATAATGGATGAATGAATGGATAGATGGATGGGTGATGGATGATGGATGGATGGATGGATGGATGGATGGATGGATGGATGGATGGATGGTGGATAATGGATGTATGTTGGATGGATGGATGGGTGGGTGGATGGATAATGGATGGATGGATGGATGGATGATTGATAGTTGGATAAATGGATGGATGATGGATGGTGGATGATGGATGGATGGGTGGATGGATGGATGGATAATGGATGGATGGATGGATGGATGGATAGATGTATGGATGGTGGATGATGGATGGATGGATGGATGGATGGATGGATGGATGGTGGATAGATGGATGGATGGATAATGGATGGATGGATAGATGGATGGATGATGGATGGTGGATGATGGATGGATGGATGGATGGATGGATGGATGGATGGATGGATGGTGGATAATGGATGGATGATGGATGGTGGATGATTGATGGATAGATTGAAATTTTTAAAGAACATTCTAAAGAAACAAGTGATAGGAGGGGAAACATGCAGAACAGCAGTGACGGGTCTCACCATGAAGTCTGCAGTACAGAGGTCACCTGAATGGCACTCTGAAAACATATCAGGAGAGCAAAGGAGAGGAGGATTGTGGAGCTTTGTGAATAATGAGGAAGCCAAGGCGGGTCTGGAAAATGAACAGGAACTCCCCCATTTTCTGGAGATGCATAGACTCTTCTAGGGAGGGGGGAGTGAGATGCCTGGACCCTACCCTGCCCTTTCCTGTTTTACAAGTGAGAAATTGAAGGCCAAGCAATGTCAAGTGAGCGTGAAAGTCACTCACCCAGGGCCACCCAAGAGTCTCTGTGCAGTAAACTCGGTGAGTGAGAGTTGAGACCCAGATGTCTCCTTCCTTCCTGGAAAGGATGGGTGAGTGTTTGAAATGGGATAATTTTATCCCTGAAGGGGCATTTAGTGATTTTAGAGACATCTTGGGCCATGAGCAGAATGGACCTAATGGAATCTACCAAGGATAATCCAAGAACAATATTGCATTCCCTCTGTGCACAGGCCAGGTCAACACAAAAAACATGACGGCAGCCAAGCTGTCAATCACACTGAGGTCTTCTGCAAGTGAACCAGGCTTCAGGATGTAGCCATGCTCTTTGGGTTTCAAACCCAGCAAGCAGAGAGTTGCGTCCTGGTTTTGAGGCCAGGAAATGATGGGTTCTCTCAGCTCCTTCTCATTCATGTAACTTTGATCACTGGGCCTCTCCTCTCTGAGCCCCTAGCTTCTTGCCTATAAAATGGAGACTGTGGTGTCCCATCCACACAAAGCTGAGAGTGGGCTTAGCTAGGTTGCCATGGTGATGCTCAAGACTGAGCCAGCATCCGCATCATGTAGAGGTCATGTTATATATAGCACAGGTCACCAGGCCCCACCATCAGCACCAGATTCTGTAGATACACGGCTAGGTGGGAACCTGAGAGTTTGCATGTTTAATTTGCATCTCATCCAGGTGATGGGGCTAATCCAGAGACCATGCTCCCAAAACCACTGAAATCCTGTGACGGATGGGACAGTGTCGAGCATACAGTAAGAGCTCAATAAATGTCCAACTCCTTCCTTCCCATCCTCAGCATCACCACCGAAGGACACTCTGGGCTGAGAGCTTGCTACTGAGGGACTCTGCATGTTGCTACAGAGGCAACAGGAGACAAGAAGGCCGTGGAAGGCCCCAGAAGACAATGTTAAAGGACCTGTTTAGAATGGTATTTCTGGAACCAGTGGGTGAGCAGAAGGGGCCAGGAATGTGCTTCTCTTGGGGTTTCTATTGCCATGATAAACACCATGATCAAAAGCAACATGGGCATGAAAGGACTTACCTCATCTTACAGTTTCAAGTCCATCGTTGGAGGAAGTCAGGACAGGAACTCAAGCAGGGCAGGAACCCAGAGGCAGGAGCTGATGCAGAGGCCATGGAGGGGTGCTGCTTACTGGCTTGTTCCTCATGGCTTGCTCAGCCTGCTTTCTTGTAGAACCCAGGACCACCAGCCCTCAATGGACTGGGCCCTCCCCATCAATTACTAGTCAAGAGAACCCTCCACAGACTTGCCCACAGGCCAGTCTGGTGGGGGTATTTTCTTAGTTATGGTTCCCTCTTCCCAAAGGAAGACTCTAGTTTGTGTCAAGTTGACAAGACGGTGTGCGGGAGTATAACTCAGGAGATTCACAAATGGAAGTCAGAGCCTTGTATATTTCTGGGGCTCACTGCAAGGGCTCTGGCGTCTAGCAGAGCTAAGTTCAAAGAGTTTGGCTCTTCCTGGCTGTGTGGCCTTTGGAAAGCCACTTGCTCTTCCTGTGCTTCCATGTCTTCTATGAACAGGAAGTGGATGTAACCATGGCTACCCCAGGGCTGATGCTGCAGGCGCCAACATGGTTCCTGCTGACAACTACAGGAAGTGCTGAGCAGAGTCCTCCCACACAGTCAGAACCCAGGAAGGAAACTCTGTGACTCCTCTCTGGATTTAGTTACTTCACTCATTGATGTGACCGAATCCCCGGCATGAAGGAGCTTAAGGTGGAGGGAGATGTTAATTAAAGCCAGTGAGACATCCCCACCCTTCCATTAGAATGCCTAAGACAAGGGATCATAACAGTGCAGCGTGTGGGCATCTAAGGATGTGGGGAAGGTGGGCTGATGTGCATTGGGCGGGGCGGGGGGGGGGGAGGGGGGCTGCTGTGCATTGGGGGGGGGCTGCTGTGAGTTAGGGAGGTTTTGTTTGGCTTTTAGCCAAGAGTGCATCATCATGGCAAGGAAGGCGTGATGGTAGGAAGCAGAAAAAAGGGAATAATGGTGGGCTAGCCTGGGACTACAGCCCACAGAATGGTGTCGCTCACATGTAGGGTGGGTCTTTGTCCTTCAGTTAAACCTCTCTGGAAACCATCACAGACACAACCAGTGGTGTCTCTCCTAGGTGACTCTAAATCCAGTCAAGTCCATCGGGAATGCCCACAGTCATGGCCTTCCCACCTCCTCAAGTACTGAAGATACAAATCATCAGACGCACTGCATTCAGCTTCAGTCAGCGGCCGCTCACTGTCTCCCGGCCTCTGCTCATTTCTCTGTTTTCCTCCTGAGTTGGTGTGTCTGCCCGTCTCCTCCCTGGGGCCCCACCTCTCTGGATTTGGAAGATTTGGACTGTTACCTCCCAGAGCCAATAATGCACCTCTGCTCTCCGCCGACAAGGTAAATATAATTAAAAAGCGATTATGATCTGGGGCTGCAGTCATAGCAGCTCTAGACCTAATTACACAGCAAGTGTAGGTCCTCCAGGCACCGGGCCTCTCCAGATGACATTTACCATCCTCTGCATGCCCTGTGCAGCGCTGGCATCTGAACCTTTGGTGACAGAGTCTGGGCCATGACGAGGACACATGGGCCCTGGGTCCAGGCTTGGATGATCCCCTTGGACTTGAACACATTTCCCAGGAGCTCTCACCTGTTACAGGAGGGGGTCTCCACCAAAGTGGGTGATCTGAGAGGATCATAGATGGGAAGGAAGTGTGTGCAGGGATATCAAGGTGGTGGGACACTGGGAGATGTTAATTAACGCCCGTGAGACATCCCCACCCTTCCATTAGAATGTCTAAGACAAGGGATCATAACTGCATTGTGTGGACATCTAAGGACATGGAGAAGGTGGGCTGCTGTGCACTGGGGGAAGGTGGGGTGCTGTGCACTGGGGAAGGTGGGCTGCTGTGCTGTGCACTGGGGGAAGGTGGGCTGCTGTGCACTGGGGGGGGAAGGTGGGCTGCTGTGCACTGGGG